AAAAAAAAAAAAAAAAAAAAAAAAAAAGTCCACTAGGGCTGGAATGTAGCTCAGTAGTAGAGCACTTGCCTAGCAGGCACAAAGCCCTGGATTTGATTCCCAGCATCACAAAAAGAGAAAGAAGAAAAAACTCAGCCTAAGGGAAGGTGTTGTTCTTATTATGACAAAAGTATACTTTCTAATTAAAAAATAAGAATTCCAGGCCTGACAAAAAATTTGTATGTTATGTCCAAGATCAAAGCTAGGAATTATAGTTTGGATGCTAATATTGGAATTATTAGAATATAGTTTAAAGGCTAGGGATGTAACTCAATGGTAAAGCACTGGCTTAGCATGACAAGGCTCTGGGTTTAATCCCCAGTATTAAAAACAAAAGTAAAGAATATAGTTTATAGGAAACAATGGGACAAAATACCTAAAAGCAAAATTCCCCTCAGAGAACCAGAGGCAGCCATGTTTGCTGCAGCACTAGAGGAAAATGCATTTTCTTACAAGTCAGAAATTTAGGTTCTTGACCTAGCTGTGTCGTAAATACACAGATGACTGCAAGCCAGTTGTTTGATTTGCCTAGAGCTTGGTTTTCCTCATTTGTCATGGAAACCTATCCACTTTCAGATTCTGTGAGGGTCTTTTGACATGAATAATATGAAAATGCTTTAAAATAAAAGATCCCAGTTTTGAGTTATGTGACACTTTTGTTTATAGTCTTCTGATTCTTTTTCTTCCTAAAAAGAATAAATAAAGGGCTTGGGATTTAGCTCAGTGACACAGCATCTGCCTTAAAGTGCAAGGTCCTGAGTTTGATCCTTGGTATGCCCTAAAAAATTAAAAATATATGAAGAAGGGCCCAGGATTTAGCTCAGTGGTTCTGCTGCCTGCCTCACGAGTTCAAAGTCCTTAGTTCAATCCCTGGTTAAAAAAAATATATAGATAGATAGATAGATAGATAGATAGATAGATAGATAGATAGATATATTAAGAAAGAGAACCACTTGTTTTGTTTACCTGCTGAGATGTCTGTGGTGTTTGGGAAGAAAAAATGTAAATAAGTACAGAACTATGTCTTTGTGTTCAGCTAATTAAAAAATATTAGCAACACAGGAGAGCACAGGTGTGCACATTTTGGAAGTCCTACCAGGCTTTGGGACAGGTTGGTATAAAGCTGTCCTGGGCAGCACCAGCAGTCGACTGAAATGAATGGAGCTTTCAAACTAGTCTGTGTTGTTTTGTTTTGTTTTTCCTGCTTGTTACATTGCTGATCTCATCTGATTACCTCACTTTGTTTACAGACTGTAAAAGGTGGGATTTCAGAGACCCGGATTGAAAAGAGAATTGTGATTACAGGAGATGCTGATATTGACCATGATCAGGTAAGAATGCCAAAGAGATTCTGAGCATGGCACTGGGACACTTGGCGGACACAGGAGTGGACCACCCCCACCAGAGGATACCTCTACCATCTTCATTTCCAAAAAATTTCTTTGGCTACTCTATCTCTTCAGAAGAAAAACAAAGGGAACCAAACTGTGAAGGCCTTTGGGACAGGAGCTGCAGGTGGGAAAGCCAGGAAGTGCAGTTGAAAGAACATGGGCTCGGGCTCAACGACTTGCTCATTATCGTGTTGTAGCTCTCAACTCTTGGGACTCTGTTTCCTCATCTTGAAACTGTGGATTATAGTGTCCTTGTCGCAAGGTTTTTGTGCCTGTCAAGTGAGATGCAAGACAGGCAAAAGGTGGGCTCCTGGTAAATGGAGCTGCTTTTGCTCAGGAGGAACCGGCCCTGCACCTGTGTTATATGATACTGAAATCAAAAGGAAGCCTGGTCCCTACCCCACAGCACTGCAGTCACAGAGAAGGCAACAAGGGGCTGTCCAGGTGATGGACAAGACACCAGGAGACTTGCAGCTTGGTTTCTGCCCTAGATCCAACACTAACTTGTGTAACCTTGGGCAAACCACTTTACCTCTGATATCTTTCCTCTCCTAAAAGAGAGTGGATTGAGCTAGATAATTTCTGGGCCTCTCTGGGTTCTAAATTTCTATGTTTTTATGTTAATTAGGTGCTAATTGTGTGCTATAAGCAATTAGCAAATAATAAGGTCAGGATTAATGTTCCCGATTCTCTGTTGGGGGAGGTTAGAACAGTAAGGCTGCAGAGGAGAGGGGGTGGAAGAGACTGCATGCAAATGCTTCTGGAATCACTGACAGGATTGCTAGAGCAATAACTCTGTAGCCTTTGTGCTGATATGCTGAGTGTCTTTAAAAAGAGAAAATTGAGTTGCAGCACTGGCAGTTCCCTTGAACTGCGGGGTTGAGACTTGTGACCGAGAATGCTAGGTCCAAGGTCCCAGAAACATGCCCAAGGAGAGGCCATGCAGTCTGTTTGCCCAGCTCAGTGCACCCTGCCGCATTACCAGCCTGAGTTTGGGTGTGATCTGAGCCCCTACTTTGTACCCAGTCTGCACTTAGAGCAGTGAGGTGGAAGGTGTGCTTTGTAGTGAGACAGAACTGGGCTGAACCCTAACTCTGACTTCTAGTATGTACCCCTAAGCACTTATATTGCTTCAGAGCTGTAGTTTGACCATCTGTAAAATAGAGAATAATCAGAGGTTTCTTTCAAGGTTTTGAAACAAAAGAACAAGCATACTTGATAGCTCTTGGTTTTTTTTTTTTTTCATCTTGCTATGTAGTTCAAGCTGACCTTGAACTTATTGTGTAGCCCAGGCCGGCCTCAAACTAGAGGTGATCCTCTTGTCATAGCCTCCTGAGTGCTGGGATTACAGGGATGCACCACCAACCCCGGCTCATCGCTTCCTTTTTGTAGCACACTTCTTTGCTTTCCTCTCTTTTCCTGAACTTCCTGGTTTCCTTGTGTTGAATACAGTCTGTCCTCCAGAGTCACTGCTTGAGTGAATCCTCTCAGACCCACCCAGGTGGATATAGCTGTCATCTTGACTCCCTGACAGCTCTGGCCTTCCATGTCTTCTGTGACTGGGGCCTCCCTCTGCAGGAGGAGGGGACAAGGTAATCACCAGGCTGGCCTAGACTAACATCATCAAGAAGTGATGGCCCCGATTCTGGCCCTTCTTCACCTACCTGGCTGCTTTTTGTCTGAGGGAATTGTCCTTGTATTTCATAGGTCCTCGTGCAAGCCATCAAGGAGGCAAAGGAACAGCACCCAGACATGTCAGTGACCAAGGTGGTCGTCCATCAGGAGACTGAGATCTCTGAGGAATGAGCTCAGGTAAGGAGTGTTCCAGGTTGGGGTGAGGACACCATTGTGCTAGCCTGAGAGAGTTCTGGCAGGGCCTGTGGACACTCAGGGAGCCCATCAATCCAAAGAGATGTTTACACTGGCATGTGATAAAATAGAAGTAGAGATGATTTTTAAATAGTGTTTGGCCCCAACCAAAACAGCCAGGTGATTTGTGTTCTCCTGCTTTTAACAGTACTAGCAATATTGGGTAGGTTCCCCAGACTTGCATTTAAAACCCTGCTCACTGCCTGAACCCATTTATCCCTCCTTCACCTCACCATGCCTTGGTTCTGCTCTCTGAGTCACAGGTATATCTAAGCCTGAACCAGGGCGGGCCAGAGGAGAATGAAACCACAGAGCTAGACCAGGCAGGATAGGGCTCAGATAAAGGAATGGCTGAAGCTCTGGACCAGACTAAAAATTTGGAAGCAGGAAAGCTGCTCTCTGGGAACAGGGATCCAGCTAGATTCATGCCCAAAGTAAGTTTACAAAGGTCTTGAAGTAGCCACCCATCATCAGGTGGGATGTGTACGGGGCTCAGGTCCTGATCGTCATGTGACCACAGGAACTTGGCAGTGGGGCTGGGAAACTCGCTTTTTTTGCAGGATTTAAAAATGTGCTTCTTATAGCCGGGCGTGGTGGCGCACTCCTGTAATCCCAGTACTTGGGAGGCTGAGGCAGGAGGATCGCTGTGAGTTCGAGACCAGCCTGGGCTACATAGTGAGTTCCAGGTCAGTCTCAACCACATAGTGAGACCCTGTCTCAAAAAAAAGAAAAAACCATACCAATAAATAAATAAATAAAAATGTGCTTCTTTCTTCCCTCTAGGAACTATCGTACCCCCAACTCCCTGCCCTTCTCCTGTCCAAAAGAAACCAGCAAAATGATTGGGAAGTCAACCTGCAATAGTCAGTCTTCAGACTTGCAAGTTATCCTAAACCACCAGAAAATTAATTTCATTTTCTATTTGGAGTTTATAACAAGAGATTCTTCTAGATATCACTGATCCTTTTGAAGACCTTTTTCTATATTGTGATACCAGAAATTGTTCAGCTTCTCACTCTATGGACGGGGTTTTTTTATGGGGTAGTTTGTAACCCCTTCAACCTACCCTCTCCCCACTTATTTCCAACCTAGATATGGACGGGGTCCACAGAATTCTGCGGGATCCTCCAGAGATTCTGTCAATTGTGTTGGAGGCCAAAATCAGCACCATGGGGCATGTGCTCCTCCCCTAGTCTTGCACTCTTTGGATGACAACAGAAACTTCATGACCCAGCTTTTGCAGAACCAATGATATGATTTTGCTAGAATGTCAGGCAGGTGACTGCCCTGATCTGCAGCTCTCAGAAAAAAATGTCCTGTCCTTTTGCCAGGCTGTTTTTGGTGAAGCTGAGACCTCTGCTGAGAATGTAGTATCGTTTTACCCCCGCCCCCCAACCTGCTCTTTCTGTTTTGGAGCTTCTTTAGGTCAGACAGAAGTTGCTTCAGATATATCTGATACTGTGAATGTTTGAACGTATCTGTGGCCTTTATCTCCCCCTCTGCCCTTTTACCTCATCAGAAGCAGTGACTCTGCCATGCTTCCCCAAGCTCCCATCTCAGGAGACCAAAACTCACGGAAAAATAAGCACTTTTGGCCCAAAGTTCTAATGAAACATTTTAATGGTGGTCCGGGGAAGGAAAGTTAATGAGGTTTAAAATAAGGTCTTCTTGTTTTGGGAATGTGTACTTCACACGGGAATTTTTCTCTGTGGCTGTGCCTCTTTCTCTTCTGGCATGGTAACGGAAATGGCTCAGAAAGGTTGTGTTCTTTGACCTTTTTTCTCTGCAGGGCACCTGCCTGAGGACACCCTCCTGGAGCAAGGGTGTTACGGGCTTAGGAGCCACCTTTCCCACAGGACACTGTGCGAAGGCCCCTGGTCTGCCCATTCCCATTCACCACCTGAGGTCCGCTGTTTTTTTTTGTTGTTGTTGTTCCAGAAATTGAACTCTGGACCTTGTGCTTGCTGGGTTCTTTAGTCTTGATTCTGTGTTGGGTTTTGGATTTAGTTTAGTTTTTGTTTGTTTGTTTGTTTGTTTTCTTGGTTTTGAAAATGAGGCCTCATGTCCCCAATTCATGGTAGGGATTTGGAGGCCTTTTTTATGCAATAGGAGTTCTCTAATCTTCCAACTTGCTTCCTACAAACGATCTGCCTGGAAGCGTCTTAGAATCCTAATTCGAGGCGAGAAATGAACTTCATGGATTAAACAGTAGGTCACTGACAGCGATTGCTGGGGGCTGAAGGGCAGTGAGCATGAGAAGTCTAAAAGCCAGCCGTGCAGGGTCTCTGCTAGCTGAGATTTTAGACAAACTCAGCTGGTTTGAACTGATTTCAAGTGTGTTCATTTTTCTTTAGTTCTCATGTGAGACTTAACCAGGGAGCCCTCTCTCTGGAGGGGCAGGAGAGCACCATTGGAATCTACCACAGGCTTGGGGAGGAAAGCAGGTTGTCCTATCTCAGGAAGAAACTTACAGGCTGTGGCACAGGATCTGAAGTGATGGGCTATCAGGATGGGGCCCTGGCCAGGGCAATATTGGCAGGAGTGGTGGACATTAAAACTTTAGGGGGCTGGGGATTTAGCTCAGTGGCACCGCACCTGCCTTGAAAGTCCAAGGTCCTGAGTTTGATACCCAGTACCACAAGAAAAAAACAAAACAAAAAACTAGGTCCTACAAGGGGATGTAGCTCAGCGGTGTTGCACCTGCCTTGCAAGTGCAAGGTCCTAAGTTTGATCTCTGGTACAGGAAAACAAAACAAAACAAACCATGTCCCATCCAACAAGCACATAATGGAGCTTGCTTCCTGAGGCCAGCAGTCCTGCTAACTGAACTACAGTTCACAAAGCTGAACCCATAGGATAAAGGGGTTGGGAAAGGAAGAGGACAGACACCATGTCTATTTAGAACCCTGAGGACTCTGCTCTCTGGATCTGTGTCAGAGCTCTCATAGCACAGGACCCAGATCTGCAGGCATAAAGCTTCCCCAGCTCTGCCACCAGCTCTGCCACCAGCTCACCCTTCTTTCCACCTCCTTTGTCTGCAGTTGGGCTAGAACTCTAATTTCCTTCCAAGCCTCTTCCCCCTTCCTCTCTCTCTGGCAACAGAGCTTGAGATTTGGCAATTGTTTTGATTTTATTTTTTTCTTTCTGCAGTTGTGTATATGTGTGTGTGTATGAAGAAAAACAGGCTCTGTCCAGGTAGAAATGGTGAAGCGGGGGATATATTTCCGGGGTCAGAGACTTGGCTATAGTTTTCTTAAAGTGACTCAGACACACCACAGTAACAACTCTCACTGCAATTTTATTTTTACTTTAGAAATAAAAATTTCCTTCAAACCACATGAGATCTCTGCCACCCGCCCACAAAGCAAGACCTACATTCATAAGCCAAGGGCTCTGGGAACCTAAATGCAGGACTGTCAGGCACCTCACACCTCCTCCAGGCCACTGCTGTATTCTGGGGGACACGGCAGCGGGGGTGAAAAGCCCACCATCGCCTTGGGAAAGGGAGCCAGAGCTATGGCCTGACCAGCACCCCTGGGTACTTACAGGAAATCTCTGCCCAGGATCTCAGCCCCCAGGCTGCTGATTTTTACAAATCTCTCAAATGTATTATTTTGATGATAAAAATGAAGGAGCTTTGTAAATTTTTTACAAATTATGAATCATACAAAGTAGTTTACATTTCTCAACAAAATAGGAACTATAGCAGCAGAATCAAATTGGTAAAATCCTTAAATTAAATAGGCAATAATTAGGTCTGCTGTTTTGGCCTTTTGTAGTAAGAGAAGTGGTTGTAGTGCTTAGATATGTGTTTGACCTTGGCTTCTTGTATTGCATTTTCCAATAAACTTAAGGAAAAAAAAAAACGAGTCTGTGAGGACTGATTCACTTTTAAATTTGTCTTCTACCAGCAACTTGGGGAAAATTAAAGCCGGGTGGGGGAAACCTAAATTGAACCATTTTCTCAAGAAAGCTATCCACGTTGGCCAAAAACGCAGATTCACTGTTGTAGAAAGGGATTTGACAGTCCGAGGGAGATTTTGCAGCACAGGCCATGAAGTTAGAAAGGACCTCTCAGACCTGTCTGGGGAGGGGCCAGACCCGGTATGAAGGCGTTGGCAGTAGTCAGCCCTGGAGGGTGTGAGTGGTGGGAGTTCAGGACTTGGGCCCTGTCCCAGAGGGCAGAGGAGGGGTTCAATTCCACCCCATTGCCCATCTTTCTTCCCAAAGGTCTAGACACCATCACCAGCGCCACCGTGGATGGAGCCTGTCCCGGCCTAGAACATCCCAACCTACCTTCCAAGTATTAGGAGGTCCTTGCCCACCACTTTGTCAACACACCAGGTTCATCTTCCAGCCACCTTGGCTTGAGCCTCCAGCCCCTCCCTCCAGGTGCCTGTCTAGGGCTAAGGCCACATACGGAGTCATGTTGATCTCCACTGGCCATGTTACAATATTCCCTCTCTGGCTCACGGCGTGCACAAGTGCAGCTGGCTTCTCTGCCCACATGCAGGTCAGGATGCCTTAGCAGCTGCTGTGCTCAGAGCATCCATCCCAGCCAGGGATGTGACTGAAGCAGCTCGCAGACATTAGGACTCTGGGTCCTCTGCTCCTGTTACTACGGTCCATGGTGTAGCCCCATAGGTTGCCCTCCTGTTTCTTAGACCCGGGCCCCCAAGTCCCCCCCTCCCCTCAGTTTGGCATACCCGCCCAGACTGAGGCGATCCAGTCGTGGCCAGCTGCGGTGAGCACAGTCTTGAGCCGCTGGGGCCCCCAGGAGGAGCTCCCCAAGGCCCAGGTCCAGAGACTTGGAATGTTCAATGTAGGAGCCGGAGGGCTGCACTGTGATGATCATGTGGCCAGTCTGGCTTCGAGGACCCCAGGGTGGGGCCAGCCCTGGGCCCTTCAGTGGGTAGCTGTTGAGCAGGGCAGGTAACCCCAAACGAAGATTAGCAGGCTCTGAACGCAGACTCCGCACCGACGGAACGGGTGAGGTGCCCCGACACTGGGCCAGGTCCCAACTTTCCGGCTCTGCACAGCCTATGGCTCTGGGAGTCCTGGGGCCAGGGCTGGGAAGAAGGGCGCAGTCCCAGCTGGGGCCGTCGGGGGGCCGCAGAGCCTGAGCCCGTAGCACCCCCTGGCGGAGCAGTCGGGTCTCCAAGTCTCGG